TAACGAAAAGTCAGATCAAAGCCAAATCAGGTTTGCACATGACTTAGGGGGTCCTCTAACGAATCCAAGAATTTAGAACCGTTTTTGACCCTTCTAAGACACTTTTTAAATTGAAAAAGGAAACATCGTTAAGTGAAGCAGGGGACCTAAAATCGCATTCGTTATGCAAAGCATGGTCCCAAACTTCGCTAAACGAAAACGCCCATAGGAAACATCGTTATACGGTGCATATTATTTTCTAAAAAAACACATCATTATGCGAATTCATCGCTAAACGAGGCAATCGTTAAGCGAGGCACCACTGTATTACAACATTTAATTGGTGGCTTTTAAAACTCCCATAGAACCTCTGAGGTATCTTATACTAAAGAGTCATAAGCTGATTTAGACAAATATTATAATTACCTTTTGGGTGCAGTAATAAGAGTAAGTAATAACTTGAAGAAAGCTTTTAGCTAGAGAGTCTTAACCAGGGGCACAATGTTTCTCACAAAAGGGTGAGGAAGGTTGACGTTGTACTACTCTAAGGTCGTGTTGCTACTGGGATGGAACTGCAAGAAATCGCTCTAGGGCAGATACTGCAAAAAGTCAAACTGATTGTATCCTGAATCCCCTTTGGATACAGCCTGTTTGACCTTTTCCAGCATCTGTAGTCAAGTCTTCTCACTTACTCTCCTTCACCAATATAGCCCTTGAATGGCCCAAAAAACTTTTTTTCCAGGGAAGCTCAAGAAAGGCCCAGGCTGTTATGTAGTATCAGGTAGGAATAATCAGTCAGAATTAGAAGAAATGTTCAGAAGGCTGTTGCCTGCCACTCGATTTTAGCCAGTTTCCTGCCCTCTGTCCAAAAAAACAAACCAAAAATCCACACACAACAGACCTTTCCTAAGGGTCCCCTCACACTTGGAAGAGATTTCAAGGCACAGGGCAACGGACTGCTGTTATGGGGAAGAAGGCAATGCCCTGTGGCCAGAACAGGCTTTGTTCAAGAATGTAGCTATAAAGTAGCAAAACTATTTTTTATTTGCTAGGAAAAGAGAAGGCTGGAAGAGGTTTATAGTGATCTTTATTGAATAGTGAATAGAGCCTTCAGTCATGTCTGGTGGGTGAGAGGTTCCTAGGTTCTCTAAAGCCAGTATGGTTGTAGGTGAGAGGTTCCTAGGTTCTCTAAAGCCATTATGGTTGATTTCAGGTATACAGTATTTGTAATCATGTACATATTTTGTTTCTCGTCTTTTTTAAATCACCTACATAAGGATTATCTCTTGTCATTCCATGTGACCTAACCTTTCTTCCCCTCTCCCTTCCCCTCTCCAGTTAGGGGAGATGTCTCATTCCATGTGACCTAACCTTTCTTCCCCTCCCTCCCTCTCTCCCCCCCTCCCAGTTAGGGGAGATGTCTTTGAGTGACAGTGCTGTTCTCTGCCTCAATGCTGTTATTAGTCTTCTTGCTGAGATCGATCACACAGAAGAGGAATACAAAGAAATAATCCAACATACTCTTCTGGAAGCTGTGAGAAAAGGCCTGAAGAGCAAGGTGGAGGTAAAAGGCTCAGTTGTTTACATGGTGACCAGAAACAGGCGCCAGTGGTGTATTTTTGCTGAATCCAGCTGCTTTGGTCAGAATTGGTTGTTACTCCTCCTTCCTGTCCACTCCCCAAAGATCTGGTTTGAAGGGCTGGGAAACCCTCTGAGCCAGGTGATTGGGTGCCATATAGATTTTAGCAGGAGTGGGAGGGGAGCAAAATCCCAATGCCTATGGCAGTGAATACCAAAGTTCAGAACTGCATCTTGGCCAAGGCTGTCTATGTTTTTGCACACTTTGATCCTTCACAGTGTAGGCAAGAGGGGTCCTTTAGTGAGTTTTTTTTATCAGTCAGGGAGTGACTACCTCTAGTATGTTCTGCTCAGATACATTCTAATACAGTTCCCATTCTTTTGGTTTTTTTTTCCTTTGACTTTAAAGTTTGTAAAGCACCCACAGGGTTAGACACATGCACAAACAGATGTTTAGCAGCATAAACAGAATACTTGTATGTCTGTTTCTGTTATGAGACTCTTCCTTGCTTGCTCTTGCCTCCCTTTCAGGATGTACTGAATTTAGTGTAGCAATAAAAATTTGGAAATGAGCTCAATTTCTTATGCTAGCACACTTTGTGTATGTGGCGCAGAAGTTGGGAGTGTGTTTCTTATGGTGCCATAAAGACAAAAAGTTTCTGTTTGGCATACATTTTTGTGAGTGTGTCTCATGAAGTGGGCTACAGATCATAAAAGCTTATGCCAAATAAAATATGCTAGTCTTTAAGGTGTCTTTCTAACATATTAATCTTTGTGCAAAACAATTATATCATAAATAATGGTGTGTTTTTCTTTTCTTTTTTTAAAACCTAGCATGCTAACTGATGATTTTAGTTTTTCCTGTTTTGAAACATATCTTGTGCTCCTTGAGGTCTGGAGTCTGGAAGGTTGTGGATCTGTACCCATGACTTTTAATGAAATCTTGCAGGTGTGCCAGATGTTTTTTGTCCTTGGCCCAGCTGCTGGAACTGATGGTTCCTCATGTGCTCCTCTTTCCTTGCCTTCCTTCCCTGTAACCCTACTTCAGCGCATGCTGAAATATATGACATCCCACCTCTGCGAGTTAGATTATGTGCGGCTCCTTTCCATTTGGTCCAAAGACTGGAAGAAATGTCAGGCGGAATAAATGGTGAATGGATATAGTAAGCTGCATGCTTGCTAGCTTAAACAAACAATTGGAAATTTGCTTTATATTAAACGTCAGGGTCTTTTTGCATCTTATTGCTTTCAGAGCATTCAGCAGGATTACACATCATTACTCTCCTACTTGATTCAAGCGTTTCCGAAACACCCAGAGTTTCAGGACTTGGTCCAGCTGACTGACTATCATGACCCAGAGATGGATTTTTTTGAAAATATGAAGCATATTCAGGTAAAAGGCAATGCTACTGATATTTTTGTTATCTGATGGTAGAAAAGTGATAATATTTATATCACTTATCCCTTCAAGTATTGCCATATTTTTAGGGATAAAATGTTCAAGATTGTTCATTGTAATGAGAATGGATGGATGTAGTTTGCTATTAATACCCTTTAAAATATAGCAATACGAGCTTACTGTTCAAAGTTGTCTTCTGAAGTCAACCATTCAAGATTTTAGTTTGGCATTTAGCCTCCTCTACTGAAAGCCTCAGTTTGAAGATGTTTCAGACTGAAACTGATACAAGGTACCTTGTGGATTAAATTATCCTGAAGATGATTGAATAAGTGACATAAGAAGATTATCAGAAATTTTTTTTATTTTAGCCTATTAAGAGTTGGTAAAGCTTTTTCTTGCACATTATGGCATGCAAATGTTGTTGTTTAATCATTTAGTCATATCCGACTCTTTGTGACCCCATGGACCAGAGCACGCCAGGCCCTCCTATCTTCCGCTGCCTCCCGGAGTTTGGTCAGATTCATGTTCAATGACATTGTCCAACCATCTCGTGCTCTGTCGTCCCCTTCTCCTCTTGCCCTCGTACTTTCCCAACATCAGGGTCTTTTCCAGGGATCAGGGTCTTTTCCCTTGCAAATGTTACAAGATGACAATTTAATATGGATGCTCACTTGGTGAAATTATTCTTTTTATCTTTTGTATCTCTTTCAGATCCACAGAAGGGCACGAGCATTGAAAAAACTGGCTAAACAACTTGTTGAAGGCAAAGTTTCATTGTCTTCCAGATCTCTTCAAAATTACATTATGCCTTATGCTACTACCACTATTTTTGGTGAGAAGATGCTTAAGGTGAGCCTTTGAAATATATGGGTTGGAAGCTACTTTCATTTAATTGTTCTTTGTGATACATTTTTCCACCAGTGTGATTTTTTTTAAGGAAGAATCATTTGCCTTTTCATGAGTAGAGAAAACTTTGAAAATACAAGTTTACTTTAGATTTGATGTTATTTTATAACTTCTGGATTTTTCCATACCATAGCTCTTATTTTTCCATTTATCCTTAAATACCTCTCCTACAAGAAAACCTTTCAGTGTGTTAGGCCTGGTAATAGTCAACATATTTCCTTCAGATCTTTTAGTTCATCCTTCCCCAACATGGCACTTTCTGGGTGTTTTGCATTGCAGCTCCCATCATTACATACTGTTGACTGTGCCAGCAAGGGCTGTCGGAAGTTATATTCCAAAACACCTGGGAGGTGCCTGATTAAAGGAGTCTGCTTTAGCTTTAAAAGAGCTAACAACTCTTGTGAAAACTTTACTGAGCACTTAGTTCTTTGGAAAGTTCAGGGTTTACTTGGTTTTTCATTCATTTGTGTATGTTCTGCTCTTCCTTTAGCAAAGCATATGTGATTATTCCCCTCCAGTTTTATCTTTACACCCTGAGGGTGAGAGGTAGGTTGGGCTGAAGAGTGGTTAGACCATATTCACTCTTGACTTTCATGGAATTCTCATCTAGTGCTAATTCTTACCCCACTCTGATTCTTGTAATGCATCAGGTAACTTCAGAATTGAACCAGATGAAATCTCATTGTACAATAAAAACTAGATTCCTGAACATTGCAAAATACTTTGCTCACTTGGGATATATGGAGTGTGAAACAGTGTTAGGCTTGGGTATGTTTTTAGAATTTCGAGTTCTGCAGATTTTGTAGCCGAAATTCTACTTTAGCTCTTTTTCACTGCAACTTCAGAGAGTTTCAGATGTTGGTGAAAACACCCTCTGATTTAATTTCAGTATGCTTTCTTACTTTAGGCAATGTGTTTGCACTGCTTCATAACTTGAGGTTCCCTTTTTTTGTTCCCTTAGCATGAAAACATGGTGACTGCGTCAGTGGAGATGGTGGGAGCTGTTTGCAGACATCTTTCTTGGTCAGCCTACCTCTATCACTTGAAACATTTTATACATGTCTTGCAGACTGGACAGATCAATCAGAAGCTGGGTGTCAGGTACGGTAATTCATTATGTGAGCAGTTTCCAAAGAAGTGGCCATGTTGGCAAAAAGAAAGGAAAAGAAGGGAGGGGGAAGAAAAATATTATAGCAGTTTAAAGACTGAGAGATTTGTTTCACGGTGAGCTTTCATGGATCCAAATTCATTTCTTCAGATACTTCTTAGGTTTACCTACTTGTCAGTTTAAAGGGTGTTTATTCTTGCTTGCTAGAATATTGGACAGGGGCTCGGGAAAACTGGTTTCAGTTATTCATTCAGACATGAGTTTCACTGGGTGGTGGCAGTGGTAAAACTACCCCTTAAATAAATCACATCCGTTGGAAACTCTGCTAGGCTTGCTATAAGTCAGAATCGATTGAGATTCAGCATTGTGCAGATAAGCTGTTCTTCCTTCACAACTAGCAAGGGATAACTCAGGTTACCAAAATCTATTCCTGTCCTTTAATTCTAGAAATACAGGTGATATGAGAAGACAGGAAGTGACACAGGAACAGCCCAAGTAAAATTGTGTTGTTGACAACAGAGAGGATGTAAAGAACTGCTTAAGTAGTTTTGCATACTGCCAGGCTAAAGAAGAAAAGGGATGAGTGTGGGGGTCCAAATCCAGTTCTTCCCAATTAAAGTAGGTCCATTGAATCAATGGGAATCAATGGGAACATGGTAATTCAAACATTTATGCATATCCCTTTGACTCAGTACATCTCTCTAGTCAGGACTAGCAATCAGATTTAACCCACAGAATCTGCTGGATCCCCAATGAGCCTTTTGGAAACAAACAAAGGGTTCTTAACCTTACCTTGAAACTTGTGGTATTTTCTTAAGCCTGGAAATTTTGCTGGGCCTTCCTGTTAACTTCCTGTTACTTCCAATGCATTTACTGTACTAGGACAATATATTGTCTTTTAAGAACGATGCATTATAGTTCACTAATATAACAGACTATTATTGGGTTTTATATACAGTGGTGCCTCGCATTACGACATTAATTCATTGCAGCGAAAGCGCTGTAGAACGAAAATGTTGTAATGTGAAAATAAAAAGCCCATTGAAATGCATTGAAACCCCTTCAGTGCGTTCCAATGGGCTGGAAACTCACTGTCCAGCGAAGATCCTCCATAGGGCGGCCATTTTCGGTGGCTGTCTTGCGAGGAATCCATCCCAGAAAACAGCGGTGAGCCATTTTATTTACCTGGCGGCCATTTTGAAACCGCCGATCAGCTGTCGGAAAATTGTCGTTTTGCGAAGAATCGGTTCCCGAAGCAGGGAACCGATCATCGCGAAGTGAAAAAAAACCATTCAGACCATTGTTTTGCAATCACAATTGCGATTGCAAAAAGATTATCGTGATGCGGTTTTGTCGTAATGTGGGGCAATCGGACAGCAAGGCACCACTGTATATTCTTTCAAAATGTGTGTCTCTTATGTCTGAGGAAGTGTACTTGTCCATGAAAGCTCACATTAAAATAGAGCAGTTAGTCGTTAAGATGCCACAACATTTTTGTCTTTATTTATTTTGTTTTTGCCTGATATGGTAGCACAGATTAACACTTCTAATTCACAGTAAGTGTGAGCTTGCAGACAACACCAGTTAGTTCTTCTCAAATGCATGAAGAGGTTCTCTGTTTCTTTCAGACCTGCTTTGCAATCTATTTCAAAAGTTGTGATTTCTTGAATTTAAGCAGCTTATATTTTCCTTCCTTCCTTCTTTCCCCCACAGTGTGCTGGTTACTGTGCTAGAAGCTTTTCATTTTGATCACGACACTCTTGACAAGCAGCTTGAAGTGATTCAAAAGGAAGGTAAATTGATAGTTCCTGCATCTGGTAAAATAGGCTTCAGTTTTTATTACTATGGTGGAGCAATTTATTCTGGCCTTAATAAATTTTCCTTGCTTTTAAGATATTATAGGAATCCTTTTTGTACAATAGCTTGACATGGGTACCTCTGTGGGTTTTGCAGTAAAAGCAGGAGTTTGTATGATAGTTACTTTTTATGTTGGGGTGGCCAGCTTCTGTTACTGCAACATGGGCTGCAAGGCAGAGGCCAAGTCAAGGGTGGCCACTTGTGACCTTTCAAATCCTGCAGGGCTGTGGCTCCCATCCTCCTTAGCCATTGTGGATGTTTGCTAGGCCTTAGGATGGGAGTTGACCAACCCTGCTTTATTTTTGGTAGATGGAACTGGGTGGTCGGGTTTTTTTATGTTCTTCTAATCTGGGATATTTTTCTCATCTAAATTAATTAACAGATTGCTATTTAATGTCACAGTTCTAAATCTCTGTGAGATTGTAGATAAAATATTTGTTTTCCCACTACAAGGGGATTCTGTTGCACCATCGGAGCATGGGCCCCTTTGCAGTGTTCTGTAATTTATTTCAGCTGAACTGTTGAATGGCGGTCAGCTTCATGTGATCTTCAGAGTTGCCCTGAGCTCATTTTCAAGATCCACTGCCTAGGATCTTGGCTAGTGTCTTTTGGACCCTAGTGGCCCTTTGTTAGGGCTCCTCCTCAAAATAAGGCTACACCAAATAAGGGCCTGGATTGCTTTTGTAGTCAGGCCGTCTGTGAAAGCACACTCCTGTGTATTTCACACATCATGTTTAGGTTCAGTGAAATTATTATATTTAACAACAATAATCTCAGAACTGCAGAGCTGTAAGGAACCCTATTGATCATCGAGCCAAGCCCCTGTCTGGGCAGTCAAACTCCCAACCTCTGGCATCATGGCCAGATAACTAAACCACTCTGTTAGCCAGCGTTTCTGTGTATCATTGATCTTGCGGTCCTAGTGCTGCTCCATTAGAAGAAGAACATAGAGCTCTGACTTGCATGAATTTGAATAGTATTTATTTTGTCTCGCTTAGCGACGTTAATCTGTGCAGCAAAAATCGCTGCTAAGCGATTTCGTCGCTAAGTGATTTTAAAAAGCCCATAGAAACACATTGAAACCCCTTCAATGCATTCCTATGGGCTCCAAAACTCACCTTAAGTGAAAATCCTCCATTGCGGCGGCCATTTTCAGTGGCTCTAAAGCGAGGCAAAACAGCGGGCGGCCATTTTGGAACCCCTGATCAGCTGTGCAAAAATGGGGGCTTTGCGATGATCGCTTCCCCACGATCATTGCAAAAAGAATTTTCCCCATAGGGGCCATCGCAAAGCGATCACTTTTGCGATCGCAAAAACAGTGTTGCAAAGCAATTTCTTCGCGGAGCGATCACTAGATCACTATGCAAGGCACCACTGTATTGGGGAATTGTTACTTTAAAAATTCCCTTGATGGAAGAATACCTGTTACTCTCCCATCAGAAGAATTTCAGGATCTTTCAAAAGAACACAAGAAAGACCACTGGTCATACGTATCTGATCTTGTACAACAGGGATGGGCGTAGTGCAGACCTGCAGATGTTGCTGGTCTGCCGCTCCCAGTGCCCTTCAATGCAGGTTATGTTGATGGGAGGTGCAGTTGAACAACATCTGGAGAGCCAGACTTTCTCCAGTCTCTTCTATAATACTGATTTGATTTAGTGACGATTGCAGAGAATAGGTTTCTGCTGCTGTTTCAAGTAGACTCCAGTTTTGTAACCCAGTTTTTGGCTTGTGTATTTCTTTCACTAATAAATACTAATAGTCTGAATGAGGATTATAAAAAAGAGACCATTTCATTGAAAGCCCATTACTCTTCCGCTGAGTTTTTGGCGTCAAGGGTATTGGCCACAAAGCTTGACCATATGACCTAATTCTTTGAATATGGGTCTTTAGAGTAGCAAAATGCTACCATCCACCCACAAGAGGGAGATATTGACAGGCTTGGGGAGGAATTCACTGTTTGTAAAAGTACCAAAGATAACCATGCTGAGTGGTCTCAGAGTGCTGACTGACTGTGGAGGGAACACATAGAACAGAATATTGTAAAAGAAGGCATGGCTGGTTAGAAGTCTAAAAAGGAGCACTTCACGCCATAGGATTTTATTGCATGTCTCACTTGCTCAGTCTTATTCCGAAAAAGCTCTGTACTGGCAAACAGTGGGAGTGATTGACATATATTAGGAGTGGGTAACTGCAGGCCTCCAGATGTTGCTAGAACTGCAACACCCAGCAGCTCTAACTAGCATACATCACTGCCGAGGGAATCGTGACTGTTGCAGTCCATCAGCCTCTTGTGAATCACAGTTCCCCACCCTTGGCGCCTTTTCTTCCCATTTTGTGTAGGTGATGGAGAAGTGATGGATGTTGAGCCTACAGTGCAGAATCCTGAGATGGAAATGGAACTTGGTGATGGAGAAGAAGGCCAAGAGGGCAGCAGAGCCCTCTTGGAGGATGCAAATGAACAGAAAGAGCCAGTGGTGTCTTTGCCTGATCAGCCTGATCATGAAGGAGCTGAAGATTCTCCAAAAGCTACAAAAGCAATTTCCTTCCTGCCCAGGAATAAGGAAGAGTTGGAAAGTCTGATCAAACATATTCAAGAAACAGTAACTGGCAACATCTTGCCAAAATTGCACAGATGTCTCATCGCAAAGGTACTTTCTTATGCTTCAGAGTCTTTTTTTTAAACAAAAGTTTGAGTATAGTCTCTGTGTGGACACAGGTGTGCAGACAAGCAAGTTTTGCACCAGAGAAAAAGCAGCATGTTGCATTTTTTGATATTACATAAGTACCTTTTGTTTTCTTATTTAGAAGGACTTCATATTAACCTCTCTAGCATAATACACACACATGCACGCATGGACATGTGCATATGCAGGGTGGTAGGTTCTGTTTGCGCTTCATTACACGAATTTCTCTTCAAACTCTTCCCCTTCATGCACTCCTGCAGGAATTCCAAGCACATGTTAATAGCCTACTGATTAATCAGAGCCCATGCCTTGGCTCAAACATTCCAGAAGTTCTTTTTGGATTTTTTTTAATCTGTTACATTATTATCCTTCCCTTCCTCCAGGGAAGTGTGGACCGCTCTTGCCCTCATTTTATGCTTGTAACCACCTTATGCTATATGAAAGGTTAAGATTATGAATCACCCTAAGTTACCCAGAGGTTTTCATGGCTGACCAAGGAGCAGGGTTGGATTTAGGTCCTCCTGGTCCACTCTGGCATGTTAGGCTATGTGCAGAAATTTTATCTGGGCAGAAATATCAAGAGTAATACCTCACAATTGCTTGTAGACAGAATAATTGCTGAGAAATGTTGATGATTTGTCTCCTTATGTTCCAGGTCAAAAGAGATGAAGAACACAAGCTTGTAAAATCCAAGGTTGTGAATGAAGACGAGGTAGTTCGGGTACCTCTTGCTTTTGCAATGGTCAAGCTGATGCAATCTCTTCCACTAGATGTCATGGAGGAGAATTTACCAAGGTAACACCTTCACGAGTGACCGTTCCCTCTGCGGAACATAAACAATTGAAATATAGCATAAACCTGCTGCTGAAATGGTCTTAGAAGGGCAACTCTTGTCATTTAAGCCCATGTTTACTACTTCTCCATTTTATTTCTGTTGGTGATGTTTGTCTCTCTGTTTGTAGCATCTTCCTGAAAGTCTGCTCTCTTCTGAGGAATAGAGCTCAAGAAATCCGGGACATTGCCCGTAATACCCTCATGAAAATAATGGAGACTCTGGGCCCTCACTACCTGCAGTATGTCTTAAAAGAGATGCAGTCGATTCTTGTTCATGGTTATCAGGTGAGATCCAAGGGTTCTTCCCTCTTCTGACTTGTTTTTAAGCAAGAAGAAGAGGAGTTTGAGCTGAGTGACCTTCTTGGTTGCTTGGTGCATTCCTTTTCCTCCAAGTCCACATAATAGGCAGTCGTCGAAGAGTGACACCGAGGAAGGACAAGAATAGGAAATGTTTCTTTAACAATCCTGGCAGGGTATGGAAACTCTGTTCCTGGAAATTTCTCTTCCTGCTATTACAGGCAGGAAGCTGCCTTACATTAAGTGAGACCATTGGTCCATCACTCAGTATTGTCCACTCTGATTGGTCATGGCTCTGCAGGATTTTAAGATAGGTGTTACCTGGGTAGCAATCCTGAGGCAGATGGCATGTTTGTGCCCTCTCTTGTCAAAGAAATAGACAGCTTGAATGCTACATCCCTGACTGATTTAAGCTGTTCACTTGAATCTTTATATCAGTCCAGACCGCCTTTTTCTGATGGTGTTTTCTGGTGTGTTCAGTGGATGAAAAGTTCCTTGTTCGCCCAGCTACATGTACAGCTCTTTGTGCTCTGCAGCACTTGGATTTGTGATAGGTTGCTGAGTTGGACAGCCCGAAGGCCAAAAAATTAGTTGCACTCCAGCTTAGAAATACTGAAAAGTGCTAGGTTAATGTAGATTCTATATTGACAAGGATGGATTTAATTATTAGTCCCAGAGAGAGTAGACTCACTGAATCAATGGGAACTTGGTAAGTCAACATGTCTATAATAGTGACAAACAACTAAATTTAAGCCAGTGTAGCTAGATTTTCTATTCCATATTTGCTAGCATATTTGTGGCATCCTTCCAGTCTGAAATGACCTTGATCTCCTTTTTTGCTCATGTAGGTCCATGTCCTCACTTTCACTGTCCACCTCTTGCTGAAGAGCCTTGCCAGCAATCACCTGAAGGCTGGTGATTTGGATCCTTGTGTAGGGCTGATGACCGAAGTAAGTACTTCCTGCCAAAATGGCACTGCATGACCTTGTTTATAAGATACGCAAGGAAATATGTTTTGCTTTGTCAAATAATCCTTTTCTTGATCACTTAGCAAATTTATAGGATTTCTTGTTTCTTCAGGGGGAAGATGGTCAGATTCAAATAATAGACTGCAGGGCATAATGTTAAAAATGACAGGATCTAGTTCACAACAAGCATGACTGCATGCTTTCCCTTTCTCTTTTCCCTTTCACAATTGACAATCATCAAAGAAAATAAAATTAATTTCCTTGTGCCCCTCTAGTGCTATTTTCCAGCTCTCAAACCTCCAGATCTGTTCAGGACTAAGGGACCCAAAACAACTTAGCAGGGCTTGGTTAACATGCCCCCATGTCCCTGTTGGGCAATAAAATTGGGGAGGTAGCATATTATGGGGCATGAGGTTGTGCAGGCGTGCATGGCCAGGCACGTGGAGCTCTCCAACCATGTGGTAGATGTGAAGTTGTGACACTTATTCTGCTGTTGTTAATTCTCCTGTTTGTTTCTTCTAAGATTTTCAACCATGAGCTCTTTGGAGAGGTCGCTGAGGAGAAGGAAGTAAAAGGCATAATATCTAAAGTCATGGAAGCTCGCAGAAGCAAGAGTTATGATTCCTATGAAATCCTTGCCACTTATGTGGGAAAAGACCAAGTGACTAAGCTTATTCTTCCACTAAAAGAGGTAAGAAAGTAGACAATTTTCAGTGGCCCCAGAGAGTATAATTGTGTAAAGGAGGCTCTTACTCTCCTGATGAGTATACGTGCAAGCTTCACAATTTCCTTAGACGTTTACCTCAGCAGCACAGGAGCCACTCCTTAACATCCTGAATACAGTAGTGCCTCGCTTAACAAGCACACCGTTTAATGATGAATCCGCATAGCGATGCTTTTTTGTGATCGCTAATGCGATCGCATTGCGATGATTCCAATGGGCGAAAATCACATTGCGATGATCGGTAAACGTTTCGCATTGTGATGTTCTAAAAACAGCTTATTGGCGGTTCCAAAATGGCCACTGGAAGAATAAAATGGCCGCCCGCTCCGTTTTCGCACCCTGCCCTCGCTTACCGGGCAGCGAAAATGGCAGCCGGATGGGGGAATCTTCACTTACCGGTGAGTTTTTCCCCAATAGGAACGCCTTAAACGGAGTTTAAGGTGTTCCTATGGGTCCCCCCCCCCCCGCATAGCGACGAATCCGGATAGCGACGTTAATCCTGGAACGGATTAAAGTCGCTATGTGGGGCACCACTGTATTTCGGATCTCTGTAGCAGTGTGGAACTCCCAGTGATACTGCTCTTTTTTGTGGCAGCATTTCACCAATTTCCAAAAATATCCAAATGCTCAGGTGGAGATGCCTGTCACAGCACACGAGGTACTGCCATCTTCTCTCAAGTGCTCTTAAAAAGCTGAGTGTACTGATTATATACCAGCCCATAGCACTTAAAGCTTCTGTGAGCTACACATTGCCTCCTCCCCTGCAATCTGGGTCATTGGTTTACTGACCTTGGAAGGATGGAGAGTTGAGTCGGCCTCAGCTGGCTACTGAACTCAGGCCATGAGCAGAGTTTTGCTGTACTACTGCAGTTTAACTGTTGTGCCCCAAGGCTCCATGAGGTTTCTTTAGCCAGTTGTGGGAACCTCTTAGTAAACTGTAGAAGATGTGGTGCTTGAACATAGCACAAGGGGAAGGAAAATAATGTGTCCTCTCAGGACATACCAGAGCAGCCAGGAAAGGATAGGGAGAGTGTAAAGTTTCTAATAAGAATATATAAAGAAATGCATACCAGGATCTCAGTCTGAATGTGATTTTTGTGATGTAGATTTTAGAGACTACTACAAGCTTGAAGATAGCGCGGAAGGTACATGAAACTTTACGCCGCATTGTGTCTGGATTGATTATGAACACATCAATGACTGCAGAATCCATTCTTTTGCTCAGCCATGGCTTGATTAGTGAAAATCTCCCCCTTTTAACAGAAAAAGCAAGGTATGGTTGTAGAAAGTAAAACTACTGTTAAAGCCAGCTTCCTTTGCTTTTTTTTTTCTTAAATACAAACAAGATGCAACTTACAGGTCTTTCCATTCTGCATATTCCCCACTTTTTATTTTTACTTTTGTTGTATGCAGTGAAAAAGCATTGGAAGCATGGTAAGTATTTGAATTTTAGTTTTTCTGGAATAGTGCAGTATCTGAGTTGGAATCATGTGTTTCAAACCTCATAGCAGATCAGGGTTGCCCTTCCATCATAAAGGCACTCATTTGTTGAACTATCAATCCAGAGGAGTTTCATTAAAGTCACTGAGATTATTTGAGAATAAGCAGCTTGACTTCAAAATACAAAATGTTGTGCCACCTGAAGCATATAGAGGCCGTCTTGCTTTCCGTACCTGTTTTGTTTATTTGGCAGTATGGGCAATAGTTATCCAGACCTCACTCTGAGGGGTCTCAGAGTAAGGCAGTGCAGATGAGTTGCCGGCTGGGTGGCATGTGGACTCCTCTTGCCCTCAGAGCCTTACTCTGAGGAAGCAGCCGTCAGAATATGAGGCATCAGGCCTGCTGGCTACCTCCCTCAGAAGACCCAGCAGTGATGCCATCCACTTTCCCGGTATAATTGATGAGCAGGAAAGTGTCTGGCAGGGAGTCTTCAAAATGGCTACCCAATGATTTGGTCTGAAGAATGATTGTCAAGCAGAGTGCTTTTCTGAGCAACCGTCTTTCTCTGAAGACACCTCCTTGCAATAAGCAAGCGATGCCGACATCTATAGGCACTCAGAAAAATGAGGCTGGCCTTAGGATGAGGCAGGTGATGCTCTCTCAGTCCATTGCCTCAGGTGAGAGTTTCACTGTGCCTCATGGGGTGGCAGAGGGGCAGTTTTGCTCGGTGTAGTGCCTGTACTTGGCTCCAAAGGATAGGTTGCAAAGGATCTTTCCCCCCCCCATCTCATCCCTCATTAACCCTTTCAGAAGTAAAGCTCCAGCTCCTCCAGATCCTCGTTTGCAGCCAGAAAGCTGCCTCTTACTTCCACCAACCCCAGTCCGAGGAGGGCAAAAAGCTCCTGTGAGCAGCAAAACTAACATGCACATCTTGGTTGAGTCAGGGCTACGGGTAAGAAACACTCCACACATTAAATAACACATGGGTGTGGGCGGGTGGGTGGGTGTTAATCCTAAACTAACTTCTGTCTCCGTATGCTTTGATACATAAATACCAATATGGTATAACTGCGCTGTGTAGTTCATTTCATGAATTTTGTTTTTCTCTTATCTAATTGGGGAGGCAGTGGACAGGAATGCACATCCTGTGACAGTGAGTCAGCTCAGGCATAGTCACCCTGTATCTCCAAACAGCAGTGGTGGGAAGTAGAAGCATTGTGCCTACATGTAATGACTTCTACTTGTGTTTTGATTCCCTTCATTCTGCATTATCTGAAATGGGAAAAACATGACATGCTCTGTTCAGATCTTTTCTGTTAACACAGAAGTGAAGAAACCAGAGTTTGCAGTGGGAATGGGTGAGGTGTAAGGAGTGTGTTAGTTCATGTAGCAGTGCAGCCTATTTTGGTGTTGTGTCTCAGCTAAGCTAGTTTGTGGAAATACACTGCTTTATGGCTCATCAGTGCCACTGAAACTGTAGAATATTCCTTCCAGGTAAATTGAGAAAAATAGGTTAATAGCGTAGGGTTGAGGTTATGCAGGGGACAAGATAATTTTGGTTACACCTGTTCATCTCATACCAAATTTTAGAAGAATATGACACCTTTGTCAGACTGTGAAGGTTCTGTATTCATCCCTCCCCTATGGTCAAATAAAACAGAAGTCCTTTTCAAACCAAAATCCAAACTGATATTTATTTCTTAGGGTAAGGGTAAAATTTGTTCTGTAACTTCTCTTGTGAGGCCAACGGGGTTCACAAGGGCAACCCAAGTTCTGAATCAAAAGGGTTCATTGATTTAATGTCCCAGGGTCCAGCAACAAAAGGGTCATAGCCAGGAGCATCCTCTTCTGCTCCTTCATCCCTCAATAATGGTGAGGTTTCATCATCCTCGTCTCCTCTCCATACCAGGTCTCGGGTTGTCCCCACGGTCCTGGAGGTACATCATCCTCTGCACCTCCTTGGCTCGCCATGCCCGACGTTCCTCAGCTTCCCGAGCCATGGCTTCTTTCTCCTCCCTCAGTTGTCTCCTCCGCTCTCTCGCCTCGGACTCACCCCAGTAAGATGGACGTTGGGGAAGTCCCTTTCTTCAGCGATAGCCTGCCTCCTCTTTGGGTACCGTCACCCTTTCTCATTTCCCAGTCCATGGGTCTTCTACCCAGATGAGTTCCCAGCCCCCTGGGATGTTGTCGTGCTCCCTCTTTATAGTCCCCATTCCCGCCTCCGCCATGGACCTCCCCTTTTCCTCCCTTCCCGCCAATTCTCCCTCCATTTGGGTTGCTGCTGTCAGACTCGGTAGATTTGTTTCCAGCCCCCGGGTGTCTATCCCCTGGTGTACTTTCCTGGGAGGTGTTGGTGGCGGAGTGGCCTGTACCTCTCTGGAGGTCTTACTTATCGACAGCACACCAAGGAGAGCTTCTATGCTCTCGCCCCGCTTATCACACAGACCCCTAAAAATCAAACAATTATTGCAGAATTGTTTTTTAAAGGCATACCCCAATTACCTTGTGAGTAGTGTACTGTAAAAATTCTAAATGTCCCAAAAATAGATGGCAAAGTTGGTCAGGCAGAATCTCTTAAGGTGTGTTTAAAGCTGGTTGCAGGCAGGATGTGGGGGTGTAATGGAATGTTTCACCCCATGCCATGTCTTTGCAAGTTTCCACAGTATTCAAGAGGTAGCCCATCACTCTGCGTAAGCCTCCCACTCCCCACTTAGCCTGCTTTGGAAACATAGTTTCCTTAATCACTTGTTGAGGAGGTGTGTGTGCATGCTGCTTATATACTACCCCATAGCACTTAAAATACTCTCTGGGCAGTTTACAGTTTAATTATGCAGGCTACGCATTTCCCTTCCCACCAACCCCCACCCCCAAGCAAGTTGGGTACTCAGTTTACAGACCTCAGAAAGATGGAAGGCTGAGTCAACCTGGAACTGCCTACCTGGGAATGAACCCTAATCATAAGCAGTTTGGACTGCCATGCTGCAGTTTAACCACTATGCCACGAGGCTCTTTCCATGAGGAAAGGCCATACATGGACATAGCAATCTCCATCAGAACATTGGAAAAAATCCTGGTTTGCTCACCAGGTGGAAACCAGTTGAAGTCCAATTATCCCCAGGTAAATTGTATATTACTTGGTGAGTAGATGATGTTCTAAGTCCACCTCCTACTTGGTTGATGAAAGAGTTCATCCCATACTGTACTCCTGATCTTTCTCTTGGTAGTCCACTTATGTTTTAAAATCAGTGGTGCATTTCAAAGATGTCTCTGAAATTGGTTATGATATTAAATAATCTCTGTGATCTTTGTTTTGTTACAATATGAGATTGCCCTTGTTTTCTGAAGTGGTCTGGTTTTGTAGCTTTTGTTGGGAAGATGATTCTTTTTCCTGTGTAATAAATGCTTACTACTACTTTACTGTATATAGCTCCTGCACATGAGCCTGAAAAGATCCAAAATAAATTCTTCAGAGGAGCACACTTTGGAAATGTTGGATCCATTTGTACAGCTCCTTATCAACTGCCTCCAGTCCACAGATATCAAGGTAGGACTCTTAAATGATGTGAAACAGTTCTTCCTTGGTGCAGACAGCCTGCCAAACTGAGGCTACTGTTAGGAAAGGAACTGAGCAAATATGGGCTTTTCCAATGCAAATTGCTCGGGTTCCAGGATAAGAAATGACAAGGCCTGCGTTTATGGTGTATTTGTGTTCCAGTCTAAGGATCTGTCCCTTGTGGTCACAAATAAGAAGTTCTGTACGTAGCTCATCATTGGGCAATTGCAGTCATGCTCTGGGATGAATAATGTATCCTAAAACTTTGACTGTGGCAGTGGAACATAAGCTCTGGCAGTTTCTGCCAGCCTGAGAAGGCTTCAGGTACAGCCCTAGCATGAGACTGCATGTGTGTTATTTGAGGACCAGGCTAGATGAGGACCGAAAATGGCATTGACAAAAAGATGGCCAGCAGATGACATATTGGTTGCAGCAACTACAAATACATCAATTGTGGATAGTAGTTGTGACCTACACCAGTAGAATGACGAGAGAAATCATGGGCCGCAGAAATGGTGACAGAGAAAGAGCCCACCTTTGTGTGTAATTAGGAGAAATTCAGCCACTTAAATATACAGATACTGTTCACAATTGATACACCACCTGGATGGTTTGAACTTTAATGATTCAGCCTGAGACAGCTTGTGACTACAAAGCAGATGTGACCTTGTGTACCTCTGGTTTTAGAAGCTGAACTCCACATTCCTCTGTGGCCCACCTGTATTTTGCTTTGAGCATCAAAATGATGGCATGAAACATCAGAATTTCAGAGTTGAAGGTCATATTTGGGAATTCCATATTACGTTAGGAGAAGGTCATATTTGGGAATTCCATATTAAGTTAGGAGAAGGCATGTTTGGGAGCTATCAAACACCCCCATGTTCAAGCACAGGTTGTTGTTATGTCTTTCCCAGGTGATCACCGGTGCTCTTCAGTCCCTTCTCTGGGTTTTGAAGTTCCCACTGCCTGCAGTGGATAAGAATATAGAACCGCTAACCAAGCAGCTTTTCGTTCTGCTGAAAGATTTTGCCAAGCCAGGAGCAGCTAAAGGCCAGAACTTCCACTTGGTTGTAAATTGTTTCAAAGTGAGTCTTAACGAAAAGAACTGCTCAGTATTGATTTACTCTGTTTGTGTGTGAGCGAGAAGGGGAGGGGGAGGGTCTGTCCAGACCCAGATAGCTATGTATGGTCAGTCTGGTAGAGGAGGCACCCCTTTCTTCTGTTTTGAATATGTTTGAATGGGGCTTTGTCGTTGTGACGTTCCTCTTCTTTGTCGTTGTGACGTCCCTCTTTCACGTCACAATGGTCAGGACACTCTCTCATACACACTTTATTTACGCTGCCACCAACCATTCTCTCATAAAACTCTTCAGACAAAAGTATGATTTTTAAAATAAAAAACTTGTATTTTATTGATAACAACAGAAGGAATGGTAAATCACTATAATAATTAAAATAAAAAGGCAATCAGTAATAATAAAGTATCCCCTCATACACACTATCACTCAGACCTTAACTCTTCATGACTCTTAACTCCAAAACTCTTAACTCTTAACTCCTCAACTAACTGTCTCACATCATTCACTCCCCCCCCTTATATACACAGCTCCACCTCCTGGAGTCCCACCTCCTGCTCTGCTATAGGCAGATGGGTTCCAGCATAACCATGATAGGCAGGTGACGTCATCGCAGCCGTTACAGTCCCCTATGTGTTTAGAATTGCAAAACTACTTGGCATAAAGAAAACCAACCCTTCCAACCACATTGAGAATTCTGAGTCTTGTAGACTCTTCTGAGTTTTCATGTTTATAATTCAGTCTTTTAATTTTCAGTGTGTAACTCTGCTTGTGAGGAATGCAAAGAGCCGTATAACAGATAAACAATTGCAAGTGTTGCTGGGATATGCTGAAGAAGATATCTATGACTCATTAAGACAAGCCACTGCCTTTGGCCTCTTAAAGGTACAGCTCCTTCCTAAACTGCTGTTTAAGATTATTTCTTAAAACCGAAATGAAGCTTCCCATTTTTCATGTGTAAGACTGAAGTGTGTAGAAAGGAGATCATTTTGCATACTGCGATTTTCTCTTGTTTTAAAGGCTATTTTATCCAGAAAACTGATAGTTCCAGAAATGGATGGTGTAATGCAGAAGGTTGCAAACTTTGCCATTACAGGCCAAAGTGAACAAGTTCGAATCCAGTGCAGACAGGTTTGTAGAAATGAGATGGTTGCCTTTCTCTTGTTTTGTTTTTTAATTACTACAGTTGTTTTTGTGAGTGCCTCTGTTGTTAATAGCAGTAAAACTAGCAACAGGTGCAAAAAGTTCTCCTCAACAGCCCTTCTTTTGTCATGACTCAGTGTAGCTTGATGCAAAACCAAAAGAAGATGCTCTACTTGGTAATGAGTCTGTTGAGTTCCAATTAAATCTATAAGTTTTACTAATAAAGATGGGGTTCTTTCCAATTATCCTGCTCTCTGTTCTCTAGAGAAGAGACTTCTCTTTTAAAACCAAGTCTCTGGAAGCTTGAAAACATACCTATGCCATTTAAGTGCTCACAGATTGTTCCGGTTTTCTTTGTCACCCAGATTTATCTGAAATACATTCTTGATTATCCACTTGGTAAAAAATTGAAAGCCAACCTTGAGTACATCTTTGCCCAGCTCAAGTAAGTACTCCTATATACTTGTATATACAGTTTTCAGAAAAAGGGCAAAATTGGTATTTTCTATCACTGTGTACTGTTGAGCAGGCAAGGGCAGAAGCTCAAAATACAAAATCAGTGGTTTATTTGAGGCAAATGAAAACACTGAGACACTTCATATTATTCCATGTTTCTGTTGAATCATTTTGTATCTTTGAATGTACAGTGGTGCCTCGACTTATGAACTTAATTGATTCCAGAAGATGGTCATAACTCGAAATGGTTGCAAGTCGAAGCACCATGTCCCATAGGAATGCACTGAAATGCAATTAATCCATTCCGGCCAAAGGAAAAAAAAATCACAAAAAACCCACAACCTACTGCAAGACCCACCAGAAACACGATTGATACGTTCTGGCCAAAGGAAAAAAACCCAAAAAGCAAACAGAGACTGCAAGACCCATCGCAGCATAGAAACATAACCCCACCACCCAGCCCAAACCCATGCTGCAAAACCCACCCAGAACAGCTAGTTTTTAAAAAGTAGAAAGCAGAACCTTACCAGGCAGTCCAAACACACACACTCTAACCGCCCTTACCAGGCAGTCGGAAGCCTCCTCCAAACGCGCACCCTCTAACCGCTGGGACGAAAGAGCTACAAAGAAGCAGCCTCTTCGCCACCAACGGTTAGCAATTTTAATTCCCTGCCTCTTGTCCCTGCTTTTTTTCTGGTTGTAACTTGAACCTCCGGTCACAAGTAGAAGCACAATTTTGCAGCTGGAGCTGGTCGTAACTCAGGATGGTCATAAGTCGAGGCCCCACTGTATTCCTTTTCCATGCAATGTTTCAGTTGACTATAAGCATTTTTCAAAATGTACACACACTCTAACCGCTGGGATGAAAAAGCTACAAAGAAGCAGCCTCTTTGCCACCAATGGTTAGCAATTTTAATTCCCTGCCTCTTGTCCCTGCTTTTTTTCTGGTTGTAACTTAAACCTCCAATCGCAAGTAGAAGCACAATTTTGCAGCTGGAGCTGGTCATAACTCGGGATGGTCGTAAGTTGAGGCCCCACTGTATTCCTTTTCCATGCAATGTTTCAATTGAATATAAGCATTTTTCAAAATGTACACATTTTAAGTATATTGCAATTTCAGTTCTACACTTTGGGTATACTTCTATTTCAAATGTGCACATTTTTATATTCTTCTTTAAAAATTGCATCAAAAACGGGAAGAATACAGATTGTGACATATAAGTATGTTCCAGTGTCTACTTAGGTTTTAGAAATGTAAATCGTCTTTGTCTTGAAATGTGCATTGGAATGAGTTAATTTTTCACACACTCACCACCTACCTCTTTTCCTTTAACTGGAGCAGTTAGAGAATGTGGAGCCTTCTGTGTGTACAGCATGGAGTCTATGACTGAAATCCTCTTGTTGTAAGTGATGCTGTATAAGGCTGGTGATATCATTAGGGAGGACTCTTTTTGGAAATTGAAACATTTCCTGCTTGTATCCCAAGGCAATAATGGCTCCTGCACAATCCTTTCACCATTGGGACAGTAGGAAAAAGTCTTTAATTACCAAAAATTGCCATTGTTGGGATGACTTTACATCTGACCCCTAAAGATATTACATTTCTTGCCATGCAACTACTAAAACCAAAACAACATCCTTTAAGACCTGGCCAAAGCAGGTTATATTATGAAAATATAAACATGCATGTTGTGCTGTGTGCTTTGTTAATGTTCTAGGTACCTGAGGCCCCTAAACACGCTGGAGGAAGACTTGCTAGACACAATGAAACTTGCTTATGCTTAAATATACTTAACACTGTCTTGCCTGTCTCTGAATTGTTGACAGTTCTTAAAGGGACTGACCTTGCTGTACTGTTAATTATTTTCCCATAGTTACGAATATGAAACTGGAAGAGAGTCTGCTTTGGAAATGATAGCTTACCTTTTTGAAATGTTCCCTCAGGTAAAGTGTAATTGTATTACAAATCTAATATTCTTAGCATTTTTTTCAGATTGCATCTTAGAATGTGGCATGCAGTACCTGACTAAGGCTGTACAGGGAGAAATTCTATGGAAGTTGGTAGCATTTCTAAGAAATCAGCCTTAATATCTAGTTGTAAAAAAAGTTTTAGAGGATCTCTTTAGATATAGCATTCTGAGCACATCCCTGTGCTCTCTCAGGAATATGTTGGGATTGTTTGAGTCAAACATGGGCAGCATGAATTGTTTGTTTTTAAGATTTATTGCATGTATAGTCTTCCCTCTTTTCAGAGAGCTCAGGGTAGCGTACCTCTTTTACTTCCTAATCCTGTGAGGTAGGTAAGGTCATGAGGCGAGTTGGTTTATTAACCAAGGCATGCAGAAGACTTGTGTCTGTTTACTCCATTCTCACATTGCCAGCTTCCTCGGTTGAATGAAGGCCGCCTGGTTTAATTAACTCTGGTTCCCAGTATCTCTAAGCCAGAAAAGTGTCTTTATTAGGATCTGAACATATGAGGGTGTGAAACCAAAGTTTGATTCCCCTACAAGGAATACCACATTCCTTTGAGAAATTGAGAGATAGCAACCCCTTTCCTTTCCTTTCCCGCCCTTATCAGGGTTTACTGCATGACTTTTGCGGACTGTTCTTCGTCCCTCTGTGTATGATGGTAGTCAATGATGACTCAGCAAAGTGCAAGAAGATGGCGGCCCTGGCGATCAAAAGTCTCCTCTGTAAAATTAACGCTGAAAACCGAGATCTGATGTTTTTGCTGATTACTTCATGGCTGAAGAGTGAAAAGGTACCACTTATGGCTGTACTTCAGTTGTTGAAACCTTAGTAAATAGGCAGTTTCTTGTGGAATTGAGCTCAGTATCCAGCCAGAATTCCTTGCTGAGAAGTCAGCTGCCCATGCTCTCCACCAATTAAATCTAGTTCTAATCTTGCTCTCATTGTTGCAACTTCAGGCCAGTATGGTTCCTGCACAGAGCTTAGTGGTTATTTTTTGGACTGTAACTCTTAGCCACAGCCATGCTGGCTGGGGGACTCTAGGGGTTTCAATATATTCGCGAAGGCTTTCACGGCCGGGATCTAATGGTTGTTCTGGGTTTTCCGGGCTCTTTGGCCGTGTTCTGAAGGTTGTTCTTCCTGACGTTTCACCAGTCTCTGTGGCTGGCATCTTCAGAGGACAGCAGCCTGTGCTCTGGTGTAGTTGGCTTGGGAGTGCAGTATTTATGGCTGTGAGATAGGCTTTAGGGGTTTGTTTATTTATTTAACTTATATGCCGCCCAAACTACCCACAGGTCTCTCGGTGGGTTACAACATTTAAAATACAATTAAAAGGCAAAATAAAAGGGCAAAATAATTAAAATGCAATTAAAAATATAATTTAGGGTTGTAACCTAAAAATTTAGAACAAGAACTGCTTAACTCTTCTGTGTCTGTCTTGCTTGAAAGAATTGCTACATCTTACCCCTTCCTCCAGCCCAAATGTTTTGCAAGCCATAGATACTGCTAATTACATTGTGTTTGCCTGTTCTAAAACTTCCCCACTAACATGATCTTGTCTCTACCGACAGAGTGCGCACAAGAGGTTAGTCGCTCATGCCTGTGGTGTATTTGTGGAAGCCGAGGGAATCGAATTTGAAAAAAGACTTGGAACTATTCTCCCAGTTATTGAGAGAGAAATACACCCTGCAAATTTCGAAGATGTAAGTTATTTAATCAGAGCAATGTTTGTGGGATTTTGAAAGGGGGAAACTAAAGAAGTGGATCAAATCCATAAAACAAGGCAAAGAAACTTATAACATGGCCAGCATAGCTGAAATGAGTTTTTTCTTAGAAGATGTGTGTTCACAAAAGGAATGTGCCCAAAGAAACTAAAACTAAACTTGTTTCCTGCTATTAACATGTCATTCTTGCAAATGATTAGGAGCTTAATTTTTCATTGTTTCTTTAAAGAGTATTTTTCCACATGTAGCATCCAATACAAGATGGAGGGAAAGCAGGTGGTGGAGGGCATTGGCTTTCACGTTTCAAACCGTGTTAAGAAGGAATAGGTTAGAGATTAATTATTTAGCTCACTGGGCAAAAGTGTCAGTAAAGATTGGCCAAATTGTTATGTAAATGCCCATACTTTGCTGTTGATGGAAAGCTGACAATTTCAAAAAAAATTTAGATTGATCTCTTGGCTGCTGTTCAGTTTTCCCTTAACAGAATAGTATAGTATAATTAGGTAGCATCTTATTGCTGCCACTGTAATACCTCACTATTAATACGCTGTTAAATTGCAAGATTGTCTATTTCTGCATTTTTTTAAGGTTACAGAAGAGACTGAAGAAAAGGCTGCAGACAGATTGCTATTCAGTTTCCTTACCTTGATTATTAAACTAATCAAGGAGTGCAACATTATTGAATTAAATAAGCACAATGAAATTCTGAGCAGCATTTGGGGTTAGTAATTTTGTCACATTATATTGACATTGAAGCAATTCACATATTTATTGTGCTAGAAACTATTCAAATTGACAGAGTTGTGCTGTGCCGCATTGTGTTGTAATTCCTAAAATGACCTTTTTGTTCATGTGGTGTATGAAAGGAGGTACTTTAAATAAACTCTTTATTCTCTCATTTCTGAAGGTCATGTTGAGTCCCATTTATGGTATCCTCACAGCTGGGTGTGGCTGACATCTGCTCAAATCTTTGGCTTATTGTTTGCTTCTCACAAGCCAGAAGAACTTGTTGATAAGTGGAATAAAAGAAAAATGGGAAAGACCCAAGAAAAAACAACAGAATCATCCGCAACTGTTTTCTTAACAGAAAAATTAGAGAAAAGGGTTAGTAATAACTTACTAAGTCTTTTTTAAAGTATTAGTACACATTCAGATCTCTTAAGAAGGTAGGTAGAAACAAAAATTAGGGTTCATTCTATTCATTTCAGTGTCTTCACAGGAGGGTAATGTCTTACATTTCGCACTTTGGTCTGAGGGCAGTTTATTCATACAGCAAGGCCAACATCCATCATCACAACAAAAAACCCAAGCATGTTTTAAGTTAAAGTATACATTTCTTCCATGCTTAATTTACTTGTAGCACCTTCATGCCTCTTTTTAACTTTTACAGATGAGAACACTTGTTTTAGCTTTCTGCCATCAGCTGAAGTCCAAATTTCTGGATCCATCCCTTGGAGAACAGGTGAGATACCAGGATTCGTTCTGACAGATTTAACTATGTTGTTTACATATGTGTTGGAGAAGAACACGACAAGGGTTCAGTACATTCATGCCACGGACAGAAAATAAAAATGATATATACCCACCACCAAAGTTTTTTTTTAAATACAGCAATAAGCTGTGTAATGTGATGCCTTTTTTTAAATTACTTCTACTTTTTTTTTTAAATTACTTCTCCACACTAGTCATGTAGATGCTCTTTATGAAAGGTTTGGCTGCGATAAAGCTGTGGTTGTGATAGACCCACTTGAAGTGATTGTTCTTTGTTGTTATTATGTGCTATCAAGTCAGACCTGACTTACAGTGACCCTAACAGGGCGTTCAGAATAAGTGAGATACTTAAGGAGTGAGTTTACACATTCCACATCCCCAGTGAGCTTCCATGGCTGAGCAGGGATTTGAACCCAGGCCTCCATCACTATCCACTGCACCACACTGGGTTTCACTCTTCATTTTTACTACTACTAATTCGCAAAATGAGGTTAGTTACAACAGGTTGGCATCATGATTTAATTATGGGGCGGGGGGGAGAGTGGAATGACAGAGTTCCACAATGCTAGATGTACCTTTTGATATGCTCAAAAAAGCTTATCTTATAGAGAACCTGGGTGATACTGGGATCCACTAGCTAATGATCCTCTTTCCACATTAGACAGGTTAGAGACCAGAGTTCTTTCCTCTTGTGTTGATTGCTTCTCTTTGAATAACCTTAAGGTGAAAATTTTTTAGTATTGCCCTAGGATCAGTCAGAACAAGAACTAAGGCATGTTAAATACAAAGGTAAGACAAGCTGATGCTGGGAAATATGTATTATGCTGCACAGTCCTGGTCTCTGTGTAGCTCTGAAGTAATACAAAAAAGACCCAATCAGTAAAGTTCCTTCCCTCTGCTGTTCAGCGTTTCACTGTACTGTATGTCCTTTGGTAGGAGTGATACATCTGTTTCTACAAAGCTAGTGGAAATAATTGTGGTTCAGCAGTGATTTGTTTGTACTGCACAGAATTGGATTCCAATAATTTTGAAGTTGATGGATAGCTGATCCCAGCTATGTAAGGAAGCATGCTGCTGAGACATTAAGGAATGGCCCATCTTTATGTCCTTTGGCTTTCTTAAGTACACATTCTTGGCTTTAATGTTTACTCTGGAATATCTCTATCCTTTCTGATACATGCAATGAAAACTGTGTACAGGGCTTAAAAACAACTTAAACAGCTCAAAACAATTCCTAAAATTGAAAGAAAGCCCACAACCCAACAGTTGTGATCCACTGAGCACCAAAAGCTTGAGTTAAGATCCAAACTAGTGCTAAATTTTTTGTTTCTGAATTGCTTTTTTAGTTCATAGTGATCTAAAACAAAAATAAACAAATTAGAGTATTAACCCTGCAACTTGTTATCTGCCATATCTTTATTTAATCTCGTTGTGAGCCACCTTCTGCCAATCCTGGGATGAAGGAGGCATGTAACTCAAATAACTAGGCATCAACATGAGTCTGAGTTCAAGCCAGATGGACCTCCAAGTGACAGGCATAATGATTCTATGGAAGTATCATTAATTATTTTTTCAAAGCTTAGGGAAGATTCTTAACATTGCAGTCTTTGAGCATCAAATATATTTGGTCCATCAGAGTGCCTGATATATGTTTTACTTCTGTAGCCAACCTAAGGGCCACAAAACAAAGAGGGCCACAGTTATAAAATCAGTAGTCCACAATATGTGGCTTGTGTCATGAGCATGTTCCAAGAGATGGAATAGAGGCAAGTGGCCTGGCCTAAAATGCATGCAAGTACTTGTGTGTTTTTTAAAAGCCTTAGTAGAACTCTTGTTTTTATATTAAAGGTTGTAAAGAATTTACTGTTTGTAGCAAAGGTACTGTATCTTCTGGCTCCTGCTTCAGAAGATAGCAAAGAGGCAAGTCAGGAAATGGACCAAGAAACTCAGGATCCAGAGGACTCTGGTGACGAAGATGAGCATGAGACCTCTGCTACAGAGATGAAGGAAGCCAAAGAAAAAAGGAGCCCAGCAACTCTATTTTGGGTGATGAAGAAACTCTTCATAATAGCATCACGAGAAGCTGCATATTCACCCAAAGACCCTCTAAAGGTTTGTGTATCTTCAGTGATGAGACAGTGCTTTCTACCTAGAGAATTTTAGGATCTTAGTACATTACAATATTATCTCAGCTATTGGCTTAGGAATGCAGACTGTTTACAGCAAGTAACTAGCATTAATACAAGTACATGGGGGGATGTTCCCCAGGTGTGTGTATGAAAATTAAGGATAGAGATGCTTCCTTTTCTAAAAAAAATTCTTGTGACTGAGAGGCATCCATTAGTGTACAATATACAATTCGGCCTCAAGGAAGTTCAGCTTTGGTAGGAGAGCACTTGGAACACAGAAGCAACTAGAGGTTTCAAGTCCCTTCCTTCAACTGCCTTCAGAATTGCTGGGGGATAGGGTTTCAAAGAGAGATTCAGGGGCCTCTTTCAAATTATGCCTTTGACTATTTGGTGTTTTTTTTCCGTTCAGAATGTGCTTTTGTTTTTCAGAGAACCTGCATCTTCAAATTCCTTGGTGCTATTGCAGTAGATCTTGGGAAAGACAGAGTAAAACCATACCTTCCAACTATCATAGGCCCTCTGTATAGGGAACTCAGCAGCACCTATGCAGAGCAAGGTAAGAGAGCTTCTTTGAAAACTATTTTATGCAGGACAGATTCAGCTCAACCATCTGCTGTAAGAGTGAAGTAAGCAAGGTCATGTAATTTTTCCTAGATCCAACACTGAAGAATCTTTCCCAGGAAATCATAGAGCTACTGAAGAAATTGGTTGGGCTAGAAACCTTCTCACTTGCTTTTGCTTCTGTGCAAAAACAAGCCAGTCAGAAGAGAGCAATCAGAAAGAAACAGAGAGCTTTGCAGGTCAGTGTTCATTAAACTGATTTTTGTTGGTCCCTGTTTAAAAATATCAGAATCTTCTCCCACAACTTTAATTATAGTATTCTGCACTCTCATTTCCCATTGCACAAGTTTGTTTTCAGCAAGACTTACCTAGCATAAGAGGTCCTGGATATCTCCATGTGCAAGCTCTGAAGGTGCTCCACTGCTTGTACAATGGAAGGATTCTGACCACAGCTTTTCTCAGTTGTCACGAAAATTCGTATTTACTCAAGGCATGTTCAGCAGATATATAAATTCATAGTTCCTTTATAACATTTTGATTTGGGTTTTATTTTTTATTTTGTTTAGGCTGTTGCTAATCCTGATATTGCTGCTAAGAAGAAGCTAAAAAGACACAAGAATAAAATTGAAGCAAAAAAGAGAAAAATAGAATTTCTGCGGCCTGGTTACAAAGCCAAAAAACCAAGAAGCCATAGTTTAAAAGACTTGGCAATGGTGGAGTGAATTACTGTCATATCTTTGTCATGAATATGTACTCCATTTATTACTGGCACTGTGCATCAAACTGTAGGTGGGAAAACAAAAAAGGACTGAAGCTTAAGCAGGGCGATTTATCAGCAAGGCTATTTCGGGGATACCTGACCTAAGTTTTGGTAACAAAAGGTAATGTGTTCCAAGTGATTTTATATCACAACCTTTTAAAGTTGAAAACCTCTGTGAGGAAGATTGATTACTCACACAGAAATAAAATGGACTCATGAACAACTAAATATTTATTTGTAACCTTAACCTTTACATATCTTATTCAACTGATACGTTATTGGAAAACTTGTAACATATTCTAAAATTTCAGTGAACCGATGTTTATGATTAAGGCTGACTTTTTATCAGCTGTTCCAGAGGTCTGAAATTTGTTGTACAGTGAATGATATACAGAATGTTGTTGTTTTTAATTAAATGTGGTTAAAGCATTCTGCTTGCCAAAGGATATACGGTAGGTAATTTCTATTCTTAACAGTTCTGCTCACTTCCCTTTTTGCCAAAGGTTAACTTTATAAAACATAGACATTGTATACTATTCCTTCTGTCTGAAGCTTCTTCATCTCAGATAAAGTAACATATGTAATCCTAGATGGTCACATAGATTTTTAGGATTATTTTCCTAGAACTAGAATGATTCTTTGAGATACAGGATACTAAAGGTTGCCTTAAACTATACAAACTATAAAAATGAATAAATAATAAAAGATAGACATTAAGCAGAGATATGTGATAATTAAATATTTATTAGTGATAAATAGTTTCAAACACTTAGAATTCTAAGTAGCAAAGTTACCCCACCCATCCACCTGTTATTTGTTGTCATAGTCTTCAATTATATGACTATCATAAAAATTGGTGCTACATAACTTAGACAAGGTAAAAGAAACAGACCAAACCGAGTATACAGACAAACATTCAGGTGATTCAGTGTGATTTACAATGCACAGAAACCCCATCTCTTTGAAAATGTAATATTTTTTAGTCCTATTTACAGCACTGCATTTATTCACATGACTTAAAGGAAAGCTTCAGATCCATTTCACTGTCTGCTCTTCAAAGTCTCCACCAACCTAGAAAGACAGATTGTTCTGTGATTTAAAAAAAACCCAAGCATTTCAATAAAGGAAGAATGAAACATCCTTTGTAAGACCCAGCAGCTATTTTCTAATCTGTGCTGCTTCTGTAAACACACATAATGAAATTAAGGACAGATATACTTACCACTCCATTGCTTCATCAAGTCCAGTGCCTTTAGTTGCAGATGTTTTGAATATTTGCCATTTTCGATCCTTTAGAGCTGGAAGTCCAAGTGCATTTGCCATTTCTGTAGGAGTCATAGCCTGTTCCATATCTTGTTTATTTGCAAACACAACTAAAATGGCTTTCTTCAGTTCTTCTTCCTAAGAGGCAGAAGAAAATACAAATTACACTTCATTACTTTGGTATTTAAACTAGAGATTATTTACTCTATGAAGCAGACCCTATATGGTTCAGATGAGAAACTGATTTTCAATGTTAAATTACTTTCAGATATTCTTAAATAAATGTTGTTGTGTTATACTAAACATAGAACTGCAGAGCTGGAGGGGACCCTATGGATCATCAAGTCCAGCCCTTGTCAACGAGGCACAGTGGGGAACTGCTCGTTCCACAGACAGATGCCTACACCACTGAGCTATTTTTGACCTTTTTTGGTCATGGAAACAACGGTATCAAAATATATTCCAACAAGTTCCACATTTGAGCCTTCGAAAACACAAGCTCCACAATGTTAATAATAGGACACTGTGTCATTAATTTGTAGGGTCACTAACTAAGAAGTGACTAGACAGGATGTAACAAGAAGATAAAGTAACATTGTGTCGTCATATACAACATTACAAACACTGATGTTCAGTGCCTGATGGGCTAACTACAACATGCTTAAATCAATATGTCTAAAAATGAATGCTGTTTGCAGACGTATTAGCAGCTCAGTCTTCCGTTTTGGTTGGCCACCTAACAGAGAAAGATGTACTGCAGTAGAAAGCCAGAACATAAAATATAAAGGCCAACACTCTTTTAGCATGCCAATCCCCTTACACTGCTTTTGTACCTAAAAAAAAGCAAAAGAAGTCAGGACAGTGCCCCCTGTTCACCCTCTCTGTCCACTGGTTCAAATGTAATAATCTTGTGTTCTGTATATCCATTTAACCTAGTGCTTCAATAGCATACATGCTGGCCAAAAGCTCCGAGGAATGCATACAGAAAGCTCATTTTAAAGGTTAGACGAAACAATGTGGAGGAAGGAGAAATGAAAAAAAAAATGCATTCATATTCAATTTTTTAAAAAGACCAGAACAATGGTACAAGTCTTGAACAGAATCCCAGGTTAAAAGTATATTTGGCCTGTTCCATAGTCATTTTACTAATTTAAAGACAAAATCCTGGTGTGTAATTTAGTTGGCAATGATACTAGGAAAATGTTGTCAGTCCCTGCTTTGATTCTAGGTCATGTTCAACTCATATACCCAATGAAATAAAGATGAAATAATGGAAGTTGAGGCTGGGACTCTATATAATCAGCAGCAATCTGCCACGGCTGGTGATATTATTTATGCTGACGTATGTTATGCAAGATGTGGAACTGTCCCTTATGTTCTGTTTCCTACCTCCAACATGGCAACAAGCTCAGACTTTGAAATTCCAATTCTGTCTCTGTCACAGCTGTCCACCACATAAATGACTGCATCTGTATTAGAATAGTAACATCGCCAATATGGCCTAGAAGATAAACAATATTATATTGTATAAACTATATTCGAAACTGAAGAATACAATCATAGCTGCACAGTCTATTTCCCAAAGCCTGAAAAATGTAAGCGAAAAACTGAACTCTGACAAAAGTCCATTCTAAGACACTTATCACATACAGTTTAAAATACTAGCCCTTCAGTGCCTTCAAAACTATGATTTTCGTCATTATTATGGAATGCTGGTGGGCAGAACAAAGGAACTAAATCCAAGGTAGAACACAAATTTAAGCTGGTTTCAAAGCCACAGAGAATTATATACACATGATTAGTTCTACTACTGGTTGAGGTTTTCATATACACATGTACGCTTCACATAAACACATATATTTTGGATCCTTCAAACATTTAAGTTGTGCTGATAACATCTGTAGAAAGACACTGGCTGAAATCCTGTTGCTTTGTGTAGTAACTGTAGTAGGCCCCAATGACTCAACAGAACGTGCAGCAGATTCACCAAATTGTCACTGATTCAGTGAATCTATGTGTGATTTACAGTGCTAAACAACAGGATTTCAGTCTGAATATTCCACCTAACTAATCCTGAACTAACTTTGTAAAGAACTGAAAGCACATTTTGTCCTCTTTTGACAATGGGATCTATGCATTCACTTAGATATTTCAGAAGTCATGCCCTGTCTTTGCAGTTCTGCTGAGTTTCACTAGATGAGCTATACCTGATGCTTGTCTGTCCTCCTAAATCCCAGACTTGAAACTTCAGATTCTTGTAGGTTACTGTCTCCACATTGAAACCAATTGCTAGAAGAAGAAAATCAGTTTATCAGTATAAATAAACATCGAAGCCTAGAATATTGTTTGTTCTCTTAATACAGAATTATAAATTGAGGATAAGAATCTTATAGGGGATTTATAGCAGTGCAACTGTAATTGCCTAAACTGAGATCATCAATTGCTCATTAACAAGTTGTTTGTATTCCTGATTGCATGTTACTCATGGGATGTGACATGTGATCAAGAACGCAAACAACAACTCATTAGTTGGCAACAACCCACCATCACAATGTATGCAATTACACGTATGCTACTGTAATCCTGTACATGATCCTGGCTGATGCATTTTGTTTCCTGTCTCTCGACAACTGATGGATTCTGTAAAACCTGACATCCACATTCAAAAAAAAAAATTTAAAAGAAAAGAATTTGGGCAAATGCCAATATTGCAAGCATCTTGATTTTCCTAGTATTAGTAGGAATCAGAATTGAGTTTAGCTGGCATTTCATGGTCAGGTTTTTTTTTCTAGTTTAAAAGTATTAGTAGGAATCAGAATTGAGTTTAGTTGGCATTTCATGGTCAGTTTTCTTCTAGTTTAACTATCAGTTTATTATTACTAATGAACTTTACAGAGACCTACAACATGTGCTCTCAAGCTCTGAAAAGATGTATACATTTTGTCCTAAATCCTGTTGCAGTTATGCAAAAGACTTAATCTCTGTAGACATTATCTTTGCAAACTGTGGCACACAACTTGGTGTGCAACAGAAAATGCCTATAGAGATGTCATAATTCATGGCAATTTGTCAGTAAAAGTTGCACCATTTGTGTAATTGTATGACAGGATTTCAGTCTTTATTAGTAAAGACATGGCACACTTCACTGTTTTATCATTTGCACTCCAAAAATTGAGTCATCCAAAATTGTCCTTACACCTATTTCAAGTAAACGTCAATAGTCATCTAAGCTTGCCACACATAGGACTCATTTAATAATGAATGTGTAAAGAGAAAAAAAAGAGGAGTCATTACACAATGAGCATCACATTTCATTTAGAAGAACACTCACTAGGAATTGTAGTCACAACCTCGCCAACTTGTAGTCGGTAGAGAATTGTTGTCTTTCCTGCTCCATCCAATCCCAAAATTAAAATTCTCATCTCCCGTGTACCAAATAAACTGGAAAAGATGGTTGAAAAAAAGCCACCTACAAAGAAAAATAATGTTACAATTACACTTTTCAGACTATCCAACAATGTTTCAATAGCAAATTTGCAAAACCAAGAAGCACAATATTGTTCACAGACTATTCATTTAAGTTAACACAGAAGGATAGCAAAGGCTAGACAGGACAGTGCTAGGTTTCAGACATCAGTGCTGAATTTTATTTTTGAAACATACTGTATTTTAAAATATTGCAATTTAGTTCATTTTCTATGAAGTTCATTTTATACTTCTCACAGTATAAAATGAGGGTTGTAGCTGGTTAGCCCTGTCTTCTACCAGCAAGCCATCCCCATCCTCTTTTCTTTTCCAACTGAAGGTCAGCCTTTTGAGATTGCTGAATGTACTTAGTCTCACAGCTGTTTGGAGCAGAGGTGCCACCTCAAAAGAGGTTGAGGAGGAGAAGAAATTACATTTACTGAATGAGCAACACAGCTACCCTGGAGAAGACTGCTAAAATATACAAAGATTCATAGTGTGTGCATTCCATCTTAATATTATTCAACAAGTGTATACCATAAAAAGTTTGAACAGATTTTACTCCATTCCTTTTTCTTTCCTCACCAATAATCATACAAAACTGCCTTAAGTCACACCATTGGTTCCCCCAGCCCAATACTGTTAACTGACAGCAGCTCTCCACAGGTTCAACCAGGATTTTTTCTTGACTCTACCTGGAATTTTCCCAGAGTTCTTGGTGTTATCCCATCTAAGTACAAACCAGACCTAATCTGCTTAGCTTTCAAAAACATACAAAACTGGGTGCATTCAGGAAGCTGTCACACAAACACTCATCACAGCAAGTATGGAGAAACAGGTAACTAAAACATACTTCTTTTAAATCACAAAGTTGGATTTAATCATCAACCTCATTAAATGCAAACAATGGCCAAATAATTTCTGGTGATGAGACCACGTAGCCCACAATCAAATGAACTTAACGAATATAAATAAAATGTGCCTGTTGACTGGTTCCCTTCTCCCAATGCATGTTTCAAAAAAGGGATGGGGAACATGTGGCCATCAGATTTTATTGGCTTGCAGTGTAGTCTTAGCACCAGCTGAACCGGTTACTGCTGATGGGGGTCAACTTTTTGTCATCCATGCAAATCTTCAATTCAAAATTTTAACTTTAGTTGCCACTTAAAGTGTTTGTGTGCTCTCTTCTCCATATAAACAGGTCAGGGAACCCCAGAACTTGCTGGACTCCCAACACCCATCAGTCCCTCCAGGTATGACCAATGGTGAGGGATAGTGGGAACTGCATTTCATTCGCACCTGGACCTCCACAGACTTTCCTTCTATACTGGTATACTTATTGTAGGGCTTTAACTTGTTTGTTTGTTTGTTTGTTTATTTAACTTATATGCCGCCCACACTACCTGAAGGTCTCTGGGTGGCTTACAGCATTGATTTCTGAACATTTCCCCAAATGACTGTGTATTTCCTAAGCTAGGAGGGACCCGATTTCTTTAGCTTTAGCTAAGCTGAAAAGCAGAAGCTGCTGCACTGTGCTTGGTGTTCCCCTTGTCACAATAATGTAAGCAAAGCCATTATCAGTCTCCTCAAGGAGACAAATGAAACATTCCAAAAGTGTGAACATAACCTTGAATTCATTGTGAGTTCTGTGGGAAGGAGGAGGAGAGGGGAGGAACACACCTTTATGCAGAACTGTGGCTTTATAAAGACATTTATTTGGAATGAAAATATAGATATTGATCCTGAACAGTTTCCCCCCCTCCTCCCGCCATTTTTTTTTAAAGTTTCGTCATAGCCTGCTATTTTGAAGGGCTGAAGAGGGAGTCGGGGAAGAAGTGGTCCTAGACACCACAGGTTTTGGGCTGTGACTGGTTAGCAG